ACGACCAGTTAACAGAGCCAGAAATGGGGTTAATTTCTGGGCGGGCTCTGCAGGTATGTTATTAGGCTGGAGCTAAGTGACACAGGTATAAGCTGCTTGGTCGTCTCCTGATGTGCAATGCAGAGATTCCGTGCTGCAGTGCCTTTAGTTTCTTTGGTAAAACCTCGCTTGGACTGTTATTAGACATGACTACTAAGCTCTACGTGAAGATTTATGCAGCAGCAGCTTCACTTCATGCCTTATGTAAGATCTCAAACTAAGCAGAAATCTAAGCCTTTGCAGGACGGCATGTTTTTTTTAAATTTTATTTTAATGCTTTGATTCCATTTCTGTGTTTATTTGAACCATGAGTCCAACGAGCATGCTTAAGTGCTAGAAGTAGCCATGACCAAAGATCTACTTTTTTCTGTAAAAGAGAAAGGAAAGCAGCCGAAAATGGCAATGTATCTACTGTATAATGCGTGGGACATTGCACATGTTGAAGCAGCTCGTTGTTTCTGCATCTGGAACAAGTAGGTCACACGCAGTTATGATACACCCTGCTAAACACGAAGCAGCCAATACCCGTGTGAGGTATGTGAGCTTTCAAACTACCTTTTAGTACTTTATAGTAGCACAGCACCTTGTTTGCAGATGCTCTGGTTGAGAACGACTGATGGAAAAGGGGGAAGGGACCCAAACCTGACTGACCTAATTGCTGTGTGGATCGAGAAGCTGGCAAAACCGTTAGTTCCTTTTATACGTTTTCTTTCCATACTATAATAAAGATAAATATTGATTGCTAGAGCACTATTGATTGCAGGGGTTGCTGTGGATGGCAGCTACATGATTTGCACAAATATCTTTGATGTACAGTGCTGCTTATTTGCATGAGGATGCGGCTTCACCATCCTCATGTGCTGCAGACCGTCAACTTGCCTTATAAGAACATTTACCCAAACTATATACATAAATATATATATATATATCAATGATTAGCCATAAAACATGAAACAAAGGACCGGAGCAGTTAATCTTCTTAATACATTTTGTGTGTCTGTGTGTGTCTGCTGCGGGTGAGCAGAGTTTATTGTCCCAGCCTTGTGGAGAGAAGCGTAGGGACCTCCTGGAATTACGGTGCAACGTCACCACCTCGCTTGGGAATCCGCCCCAGCTGCACAACATGCCTGAGACCGACTCTTCTCCCCTCACTCACTGACCTATAACATGCCAAGCTCCTTCATTCAGACCTGGGTACCTTCCTCCAAGCTCCCAGCTTTGGGTCATCAAGTCACGGGAACGGCTTCAGTGTCTTCTCCTGAGTTGAACCTGCCTGGTGACACCCTTGCCCATTTCCAAGAAATGGAAAAGGCCCCTCCAGTGGTGGCCGGGCTTGTGAGGAGGAGGGTGGGAAGTTGCCTGAATGGCCCATTCGAGGTCAGGCACCTCCTGCCTGAGGTGCTGCTGCCTCTCCTCTCCATTTGCAGCCTCCCGGAGGAAGGATGGGGAAGATGGAGGTGGCCTCCTCGCCTTCCCGGGCACCGCCAGGCTGCGGAGAAAGGACTCTCTCCCACACCCGTTACACGTCCCTGCATGTCTGTCCTGCAGCTATCAGGCTGCATCTTATTCTGGGCAGCGCTGTACTGGCTGGCTGACCCACCAATATTGAAATTCAGAAGGAAAAGCACGCATATTTAACCTCAATTCATCATTTTGATTTTGATTAACTCCACGAGTCAGAGGTTTGCAGGCTCTAATCTTGTTTTAAGAAAATACTGCTGTCCTCTCTTCTGGGTGTTTTCCAACAGGAAATTCAACAGAAGGGTTCTTTCCTGTTCTTTAGCTCCTTCCACTTACTTGGACACGTTGTGGATCTCTGAAATAGTTGCCCAGCACCTCCCCAAACCATGCCTGGTCCAGTGTAGAGAGTGCTCTTATTTCCCCAGAGGCCCGTAAGGAGGAGATTAACGCTGGGATCCAGGTTCCTGCCGTGGTTCTGCACTGACGCTAAGCCACTTCAGCAGATGAGCAGGCTCTCCGTTTGGTGACGACTATTTATGTACAGGGAGCGAGTATTTCATAGACGCTTTTTGGAAGATCTTAGAAACACACCACGGTTCGGAATGTCACGCTTCATTCTTCATTTTCCTTTGAAATGGGTCTCTCGGGGTGTTACGTTGAGCAGCCCTGTCTTACAAATCAATTCTTCCTTTAGCCAGCTCTGGAATAAACCCCAAAGTAAGCAACACCAAACGTCTGATTTACCAATAGATTGCAATCCAGGCCTAAAGAGCATAGCCACTGCCCTGCTTTAAATATTCATGAAGCCCACTGGTGCAAAATGCATTAAAGGTGGGAATATTGCCAGTAGTACATGATCCTCTTAGTGACAAGAAGCTTTCACATATTAAAGTAGCAAGATGTTAAGGACTTTCAGCTGAACAGTCTTTGTTTTTAACCTAGAGAAAGAGATTCACTAATGGAATGCCAAATTGCATTCGCTCTCGTGATAGGAGGCTGCAGAATAGGATAATAATACATGTGTGCTTTGCCACGCTGCGGAAAACCTGTTATTACAGCGGGTTCTTTTCTGCTTTTTCTTCGTACTTTCCAGAAAGCGCTCACACACGTATCTCACCCCTTCGAGTAGTCTTCTATGTGACAAACGCTCTCTCAAAATCCCAGGAGTCCAGCCATTAACAGACTGGTTTCACGCAAATAAGAAGATTTAAAAATAATGGTGACACAGTACAATAGCACAATTTAGCTGAGTGACAACCGGCAGGTGAATAGCGCCCCCCCCAAAAAATAAAATAAAAAAAGGAAGAGTTAAACCAGAGACAAGAGACTGCAAAATAACAGACTGTGGCAATGCAGAATAATGTAAAGTGTCGCTTTAAATCATCAGCAGCCCAACTACATCTGCCATCACACCTGTGCTCTCTTCTCTGATCTACTCTGGCACCTCTAGAAACGTCAGGCGAGCAGCCAGCCGCCTCGCCCCGGCTCTCTGCCGCCTGCAGCCCTCCTGCCAGCGATGGAGCAGGCACCAACCCTGCACCCTCGGACTGTTTCTGCCTGTAACAACAGGTCCCGGGACCCACTGACCCCATCACAGACCTCATGGGGTCAAGGTGAGATGGCTAAAGGAGCCCCTCTTTAGATCCGAAGCTCGATCCTTACGAAAACGGCGATCAAATACCCAACAGAAATTTCTTTTCCCACTTTCAGGGCATTTGCTGCACGCCGAAATCTCGGCGGGGAGAGTGGGGGAATACGTTTATCCGGTGCCAAACATGGAAATTCAATTAATGTACATCTGAAAGAGGGTAGGTCCCCCCTGCACAGTCTGCTTTTATTCTGGAAATAAGAGTAACAAAGTGCTAACACCCAGAAGGCTCATTTTTTCAGAAAGACGTTTATCCAGGACTAATCAGGGGACAGGGAAACAGGGCTCTGTTACGGCACATGAAGTTGTTTACTTCAAAGCAGACGTTTAACAGGCTTTACACGGTCTTTGTACTTCTGGTTGGGAAAATCTGCTTTCCTGCCTTTTAACAGTTCGTCTGGTAGCATCTTCCCAGTTAAATGCCCTTCCCAGCTTCCCGCTCCCCCAAAAATGTGTCTTTCCCTGACCTCCTGTCAATAACGATGGAGAACTTCAGCTCCTGCCCTCATCGCGCTGCTCCGCAAAAGCCAAGTAGTTTTAAAGGGGGGGAAACCGATAGAGCAAA